CAGAGAGCTCGTACAGGTCTCTGAAGTTGTGTGCAGTGCTCTATGCCTGCCAAAGAGCACCTTTTGTATAGCCAAAAGCTTAGCTTAAAAGAAGGTCCAGCGTCATCTCATTGACCTGAAATCTCTGAAGGTGCTCAGAAAAATTAGGTTTGGAAGATAATATATGAATTTGGTGCACAATTTTTATGGGTAAATATACACTTGATTTGTGTGCGCTTCATCTTGAGATGGCTGGGTGTTCTTTGGTAGTGGGTAGGTGAGGGTTTGTGCCATCAGTCCACGTTGAACATTACTGAAGGGAATACGGTTAAAGAAAAATGACAGCTCTGAGGAACTGACGGCGCTTCCGTGGGGTTAGGAAGCTCTTCAGTCTCTATCAGCAATAGCTGTAATACGGCCCTGGAATCATATCTGTGGTGAATCAAGCTGGAAGAGATTGAGGCGTGATTCCCTGGATGGCCCCTTGGTTATGAGCAGAGATGAAACATGCCCAGCTACATTTTATTTTTGTTTACAACAAGAACTCCTGTAATGCATTTGGCGTGCCACGGTGCCCAGCTCCGCTTGCCCTCTGCTTTGGCAAGTGTTTTTACTAGTTGCAGTATTTTAGCACGTAGCTTGCTGAGCGTGTTAAGATTTTCCTTTGGTGTTTTAATCCAGTCTACTTGGAACGTTTACTCCTTGTAAAGCAACAAGCGTCACTTGTTTTGGAAAAGGTTCTCCTTAGTTGTTCGGAGCTGGCGTTCTGATGGAGGGCCAGGCTCGTTAAAACATCCTGACATCTTCCCGAGGAGATGCAAGAGATGCCTTGCAGGAGTGCAGTCATGGCTTGAATGACATCTGTGTTTCGGAGGGTGTGTGCTCAGAACTGCTCTGCCAGGGCTTAGGGGCATGGCACTTTAATGGCATAATCCTTTAATAGCATAGCAAATAATGTTTATATAGACAGATGTGCTAAATATGCTGCAACAAAGGCATTTAAATCAAGGTGCGTTAACTATTTTCTACTTACGTAATTCTTTTGTTCAGGATACTTGAAAAATACCCATACCTAAGCACAACAGCTAAGAAAAAATAGGTGAATTCATTCAATATAGAAGTAACATCAGGAGTAGGAGGAAAGATAGTTCATAGGAGGGTGCAGGACTTTAGGAGTTTTGGGCATCAGTTCTTTTGTGACCGTGTCACAAGGAAGTTCCCCAAGTGTGTGCTCACCTCCTTTTAAATGTTTCTTATAGCACTAATAGTATTTTCCTACATCATAGTCGTGCTGCCAAGATTAACTCATGGTTGTTTCTTTCAAACATGTAGAAATGGAGGAGGGTTTGTGTAGATGGCCTCTGAGGATGCATCCTGCCAACCCCAGGGGCCCGTCTGTCGCCGGGTGCACCCTGCCTTACGTATCATGCAGTACAAACCCCGCGATAAGCAGTGTTTCCACTTCTGATAGCTTAAAAGCCAAGAGTCAGACCTACAAAGTGATGATAGTTTAGAAAACAATGTAACCCCCAAAATCCAGAAGCCCTTTGGATGACTGTATTTGCTCTCTGTTTAATGAAGCTTCATGGTATGCAGGGATGGTGTTTTATCTGTATTCCATAAACAGGAGTAGGAAATATATAAATATATATAAATGAAAACGAAGATGCCCACAGTTTGTCATATGTCTTGGTAGTTGGGATTTTGAGAAACAAATAACATATTACAAGGCTCAGGATAAAGCTCCAGGAGCTAACAGTTTTTGAATGTGCTAGTGCAGTGGAACAGGATTTACATTGCCAGCTGAAGCTGTGGGGGTTAGAAATGCATAAAGCTCCAAAGCTTAATCCCAGGTATAGCCCTGACACTGATCTTATGCAAGAAACCTTAAAATCTTTATTGCAACTCCATGTGTTGTTGAATCCAGATCTGCAGACACTGGATTAGCCAGAGGAGTAGAAAGATTCAGGAGTCATAAATTCCAAGATTCCTAGGCGTACATAACCAGAGTTGTAAATAATTAGAAATTAATTAAGTTGTAATTATGAAGTGCCCTGAATGTTTTGTGGTGGCAAAGACTTAGCAAACATGATAGTTATCAGAAGTTTATCAAGAATCAGCCTCAGATTTTATCTGCAGGAAAAATGGGTTTCTAAATGCCAGCCTCCTAAATTAGAGTAATGCATCTGAGGCTGGATTTTTAGAGCCTATGCCTGTATGTCTCTGTGTCTCTGCCGACCTGTCAGTCACCTGATAGGTACCACCAAACTGCAGAGAGGATCGAAAGCAGAATGAGAATGCTGAGGCTAGGGTCTCGTTTGAAATATTGTCTTTCCAGGCTGATATTTTTCCAGTCATTCTGCCAGCACACTCAGGTTTGAATAGTCCATTTAAATTGTCATCTCATGTAAGTGTAAATCTTGGCCCATGCCAAAGCCATCTGTTGGTGGGTAATAGCTGTGATTTATTTTGCCTCTGGTTGACTTTCATGCTCGTGGACCAGATGCTGGCTTGTAGGATTTGCTTTTATTCATTTTCAGCTTTATTCCATGTGTTGGCATCACAAACAGCACTTTAATTTCAGGAATTTTCATCTAGTATTTAAAAGTAGGGATGAGTAATAGCATCACGCAGCCCTTGGGATGTAATTTAACTTTCTTCAGAACAGGATTGGACAGAAAAATGTTTCACATGTTAGAAATATATTTGAATAATATTTATAAATGTCTATTTTCTTTCTAATCACTAATCTTCACACTGATTTATGTTGTGTATATACACTTAGCTAATTCTTTCAAATAAAACTCCTGGGCCATTTGAAGACTTCTGGACTCAGCAGAACACTGTAGGTTGGGTAGCTAAACTGTGAAGTATATGTAATATTCTGTCGCTACCTTTGCCTTTAATGTACAATGACAGTAATAATGAAGCTTTCCAAGTTAGGACTGATTGTTATAGGGACATCTCTGTGCATTAAAGAAGACAGTAAGGAGGCAGAGGAATTTCCCCAATTCCAGATTAGGAAAAAAAAGGACCAAAGATGCAGCCAATTCTTTGTAGTAGAGATTAGCCGTATCCAACTTCCAGACAATCTGTACATCTCGCACATGAGCTCCTGCAGTTTGGACCTACAGCCGAGTGGATTTTATAGGTCTGTCTTCCAAAGCTGGTGTTGAAATGCAGAGGAGTTGTATGGAAACTCCAAAGCATGTTTGGATACACAAATGCAAGTGGAAATGACTTCACTGTCTCACTATCTGCGTTGGAAACAGAAGTCTCTGGGCCTTCCTTCCCACATTGCTCAAACTACATCAGTGAAACAGAAGAGGAGCAGGTGAATTGATGGAAAACTAAGCATCAATTTGTTTATCAGTCTTGAAGTATGTTAGCAAAAAAAAAATACTAGTGGTAGTCTATGCAGTACTTGGTTATTTTGCCAGATAGTACTCAATGTTACAGCTTCTCGGAAGGATTCAAAAAGAAAAAGAAAATAAACAGGGAAAACATTTCCAAGGCACTGTTAAAAATAATCCTCTAATCATGCCAAAATGTAGAACTCCTGGACAGATACTCCTTAGGCTGCTTCCTTGGGACCCGTGCCCCTTGGAATTTCAGTAGGGCTTTTCTGTGAAGTTCATTGTCTTACTGAGCATTGTCTCAGTGGTTCAGGAATGAAATGGGAATTACATACGTTGTCTGAGAATGGTTATATGAGATGGGTTTTATAATTGTGGTACAAAGATGGTTTTAATTAGATTCATTTCTTCAAGTCCTTTTCTCTTTTTATGGTTAGTCATCTGGGTTTTTTTCTTTGCAGCAGAAAGAACAGAGTGATATTTCTGAAATGTGTCTATAGAATACTGCTGATATATTTAACACCTAGTGGGTGTGTGTAACTCAGTACCCTGACATAACAGTTTAGTATCTAGATTTTAAAAGGGGAATAATTTTGTCTTGAAACGAGTAGCTAACAACTGTGTCCTGAAGAAAGTGTAACTCACTCTGCTGTGTCCCAAAGTTTATGTGGTTTGTATGCTGCATCTTACCCTTAACCAAAGAGCTCCTGTAATGCACGGGTTGCCCGAGTTCTTTAAACTGCAGTGGGAGTTTTACACATAAGAAAACATGAGAGGAGAATATCAAGCTTGGACCAAGTTTCCTTTTTCATCTATTTGAGATGAGTGTCAGGGTCTTGAAAAGCGCAAGGCAGCTGCTCTGAGGTGCTTTTAGGAGAGCTAGTACCATGTGTGAGACATGACAGATAGTACCCACTGCCTGCTGTTCTTCCCAGTGACACTGGGAGTAAATTTGTAATTGCTGTAGTAGTTGGGATTACCCAAGAGGGGCAAACACAGAGGTTGGATAAGATGTTTAGCCATTAGCAGGTTTGGTTTCATTTATAGAGTTAGAAATTTAACTAGATTTAATTATATAAACAATCTTGTTTGAACATTTCTCTTGTACCCTGTCACCTCACAGCTGAAATAGAATACTCCAGCAAAAACACCGCTTTGCCTCCAGACTTTCCATGCAGATTTTGTCAGCAGAGCTCACATTTTACAGCCCATCGCAACCCTGCCTGATACAGTCCTGCTGGAAGAGGATGTGATACAGACCTCAAGATAGCTATAGCAAAATGACATTTACACATAAAGCAAACGGCACTGTTAGTAAAGGCTCCAGTTCAGCAGAGCCCTTAACCACATGGTTAAATATCATTGAAGTTAAATTACTTCAATCATATACATAAGTGCTCTGTTGAACTAAGGCCTAATGGTAGTTTCCATCCCTTTCCACATGATCAAGGCTTTTTCATATTCTTCCACATGCGATAGGGATTTCTTCTTGGTTGCACAGCATGAGCAATTGCTTTGACTTTTGGAAGACTCTCGGCAGTTTGAAATTGCTAAGCTGTTGTAAATAGTTTTATGTGGAATGCCTGTAACAGAGAATGCAGTGGAATTTTCCCAGCTTTGTGCTGCCAAGGTAGATTTAACACATCTTTTCCCCCTGTTTTCTAGGACCACCTGTTATTGCCAGCCACTGCACATAACAAGACCAGAAGACCAAAGATGTCTATAGTATTGCCAGCTGTAAACATCAATGGTAAGTCCAAAACATGAAAGAGAATGATTGGAAAGTAATTTCAGAGAGATCTCCTCAACTTGTATGTGGAAACCAAACTCAGACCCAAGTGTCTGTTCTTGTAGCCTTGGAAAAGAAATCAAACAGCCTCATCAGTGAGCTGTAGTTGCCAGGGTCCCCTCTGGAGCAGGGATGCTGGCAAGTCACCAAGGCCCGGTCACTGGGACTGTAGTGAGAGGCCGAGTGCCTTGGCCAGCAGATCTGCAGTCTCTGATTGTTGCTCCTTCAGGGCCCTGGGGTGAGGCCGCCCAGTCCTGGTGATCTGTGTGTAGCTCCTTAGGGGTACTTCACTTTGATTCAGCTCCTCTAGCTCGGTGCTGCCAAGATTGCTTTGTGCATGGGGACTTTCTCCAGCACCTTCAGCAGTGAATTTCAAAGCAAAGGATTGGTCAAGTTTCTGTGCTGTGGCCTTATCACTGCAGAGTGCCCCTGCTCACACAGTGCTCACCAGGTGCTGCTGTGATTCATTGACCACCTTCTTACCCAGTGATCTGAGTCCCAGTAACTCCCTGTTATTCCAGCTAGTGAAGCTTCTGCTGAAAGTGTTACTGAAACTTCAAGGAGATTTAGGAAGATAAAGGCAAAGCTAGCATGGCATCAGTTTTCGCTTTTGTACTGAACTCTGTTTTCAGTTTAAAAATACTTCACGGCTTGTACTTTAACTAAATGTTAGACATATAGCTTGTGGACAAGGCTGAACTGCCTAGGTAAAACACTAGAATGTTACACAGCAAAACTCATCACTTTGTGGCTGCTCCGAGTTACAGTGGTCTGATATGAGTGTAATAAACCTAGTAACATGGCCCATCCTCAGTCCATGGCCTGTTATTCCAACCTTGCAGACCTCAAAAATCAGCTTCACTTTTTAACTCCGTTATGAACGAAAAACAAAAATCTTATTCTTGCCCTTTGCAAGATGTACCTCTTGTAATCCCACAGGTGCAACCTGCTCCCTGCCTGTTCTGCTTCTTGTCCCCTCCCTTGGGCCATACTGATTTATTAGGGTGCTGATTTCCCTGCCTGTTCTGCTTCTTGTCCTCTCCCTTGGGCTCCTCTGGCTCCTGCCTAGCAGAGAAAATTCCTTGGCCATACTGATTTATTAGGGTGCTGATTGCCTTCCCTCAGCCTCCCATCAGCTTCCTCAGCTGTTCACCACTATATTTGGCAGTACTCATTATGAGTACAACTCAGCACTACGTGGTCATTATTACTAATAACCACTTTAAAGTGCTGCAGGACAGTAGAGACTACAGTTTTTCTTTAAGGACATAAAGGATTATTAGTAATCAGAAATATTCATAGTCTCAGTTGTAGTCCCTCATGAGAGGCAGGGCATGAACTGTACGTCATTAAATCATCTGGTAAGGAGCTGCCACGTTAAGACATGCTTGGGACACAGAATTACCAGAGACACCTCATGAACCCTGTGAGAGTATAAACTTTTCTTTCTGACTAGCTACACGATGTAATGCCTTTTTAAAACTTACGTGCTTTACAGCACAAATGAATCATGAGCCCAAATGTTTTGTTAAATTCAAGCATGCTGAAAACATTGTCTGATGATGCAGAATTTCCATAAACTTCTTAAAAAAAAAAAAAAAAAAATCAGCTCAGGCATCCAACATTTTGATAATTACATTTTCCCATGCAGTATGGCAGGTCAAGTGTGATAGTATATAACCAGCTATCTTAGGAAAATTTTTATTAGATTGTATCAGAATTATTTTTGGCATTTTTCTGCCTGAAACTTTTCTTGCTCATTACAAGAATCTTTTTCTGGCTGAGCTGAATTATCACATGCAGACGGACACTTTATCACTTAAAAAGTAACCTCTACTTCTAATTTAGAAAATATTTCATCATGAAGTGATACTCGGCCTTATTGTAAGTAAAATAACTTTTTAGTTATCAGAGTAAATATAATTTGGAAAGTACATTTCAGAACCCAGGGCTAAGTCACATCCTTTGTTGATGCTGAAACAATATGAAATTAAGTTCTTTCTCTTCTTCAAAACATGAGCACAGTCTAGGAAGTAAGAAGTGTCCAGGGATTTGGGCAGAGATGTTGAAACACATCAAACAAAGAACACTTTAAGTAAACAACGGCATCAAAGACTGCTTCATTTGTGACACTCAACCACTTGATAAGAAAGAAATTTTAAACTATAGAGAGAAACTAGATAACTTGCATTCATTTTTAACTCAGTTATTAATAGATCACCTAGAGGAGACTGTTCTCCACAAAGTTCTGCCTGAAGAAGAGCCCTTGTGTCTCCTTTCAGAGCACCACTCCTGCACCATCTCCTTCCTCTGCAGGGGCTGAGCATCCTGAACAAGCATCTGGAAGCTGGCTGACAACAAAGCCTTTTCCCCAGCTGCCTGCCGTTCCTTTAAGCCCACCTTAATTCCCTACCCACCTGCAGGGAATTGCAGGAAGAGGCTCGATCTCTCTGTGGGGAATTAGCAGAGAAAGAATTTGTCCCCTCCTGCCTTTTCTCATGCTGCAGCCAGATCTTTGTGGAAGAGGGAACCTTTGCCACTTCCACTTACTTTCCAGTTCATTTTGCTGCCACGATCCTGGCAGAGCAGATAAGGGACTGCAAGTGAAGCAGTGTTTGCTCTGAAACATTTTCAGAGATTCTTCACTTGCTTTTTTGCTCTAGGTTCTTTATTTTACCTCATGCTGAAGTTTACCCTTGACACTGTTTCCAAATGTGAAACAACATACAGTTCAGCAGAGAACACTTTGAACGGTCTCTTCCCATCAAGCCTCTCATGCTTTTCTGCTTTCTCTTTGATTGCTCGTGTGCCTTCTGAGCTCTGTAAGAGACTCTGCTTTTAGTTGGTTTGAGCAGTTCCCGCTCAGAGCAGCAGGGATTCAGGCAGAGAGCAGGTAGAGACAAAGGCCAGCGGCCAAAATGCCTTGTCATTCACTTGGTGAGCCCTTGGTGACTCCATGGAGATGAATGACTTGCTTCCACAAGATTTATCTAGTCGTTTTCACCAGGGAACAAGACAGAATCTAGTTCATAGTTTGAAAAGTTTTTCAAAATTCCTCTTGGAGGAAAATAAGATAAGTCTGAGTAGTGGCAGCTCTAGTGCTTTTCAGCAGATGTCAACAGAAAATTTTGTAGCAGAAGTGTGCATTTATGTGTACACATGTGTGCACTCAATATGATGGATGTCTAAGCAACCAGTATTGTACAAAGCAGAAAAATGTGTTATGAATTTTCAAGATAAAAACTTAGTAACAGTAATTTAGCCCCTGTATATTGTAAAACAAAAAGGGGCATTACCTTGTAGAGAACATGTGTGCCCCTTTGCATGCTCAGGCCAGACTGCCCCATGCCCTTCTCTGTGATCTTGGGGTTAGCCAGTGAAATCCTCACTGTGGGCTGCTTCGCAGGTGCATGAGTGCATGAGAACTCTAAAACATGTTTAAATGTTAATTTTTTTTTTAAATAGCTTTTGGAAGCTTGTTAAGTGTTGCTGCCTTCCCTCCCACCAATTCCTCCTCTCCCAAGCCTCCTCCAAGCTTCCTGGGCCGTCTCCCACAGCTCACAGGCAGTGCTTGCTAATCAGTGCCTGCCTGTCTGCCTTCCTGGGTGTTTGCACTGTTCTTCGCCCTTCTCCCATTTTTCCCTTGTCTCTTGCCACTCAGTGCAGCTCTCTCTTTGACCCCTGCAACCAGCCAAAGACAAAGCCCAGCAATGTTTGAGGACACAAGCAGTATTCATAGCAAATCCATCTGATGGGACCTTAAGGACCTCAGTGCTGGCGTGCCTGGGGGGAAAGAAAAAGCAGAAGTGGGTAGTCTTAATCCCACTGCACATAGTTCGGAGGGCACCACTGGTATGTCTTTATAGAGAACTTCTTCCAAGAAGAAATATCATGCAGTTTCTCATGGGAATGAAAAGCAACTGCAATTAACAGTTAAACATGAGTTTTTGTTTTTAAGTAAGTCATGTTTGTTATGCTGGATTGCAGCTATTATTTTAGAGATCTAACTATGCACTTGAGACCAGTTAAGTCTCCAGTAGATTTCATTCCTAGATTTGCTTTTATTGTAATTCAGAGTCTTGTTGGCTCATTACAGCAATTCCAAATTGACATATAGGCGGTGCTTTCCTTGAAGTTTAAATGAAAACATCTGCCATTTGCCTTGTATTGACTTAACTGCTGTAAAAAATGCAGTGGGTTATAGCATTGATCTTTGTATCACAATAATCTATAGAGTACAGCATAATCAAGCTACTCTTCCTGCCCCAAGCATAGCCTTCAGTCTCTCCAGGGTATCTGCAATGCAGCACACATCACCAGCAGTTCTCTCCTTGCAGGCAAAAGTGAGAACATAAATGCAGTTATTCAGCGTAGGAGATAGAATTCACAATTCAGCCAAAGAAGCCACTTTCATTGCTGGGATTGTTGCAGTGTTTGCACTTTTACTAGTTGTCCTTTTCTCCCAGTACACATAGCTGTAAAAGATGTATACTCATGGTGGCCTCAGCAGCAGCACAAAGACCAAAAGAGCCTCTTTTCTTCTTACAATCCCTGTGCAAAAAAAGGTCATCGCATGTATAAGACCTTCTTTCATTTGCTCTCTCTAAATTGAGGCTTGGTATTTTCATGTACAGCCAAACAGAAGGGAGAGGCTTCATGGGAAAGCCCTGGGAGAAATCCTCTTGCCTGAACTCTGCAGGAGAGCAGGCTGGTCCTGCAGGCTGTCAGTGTTGTCCTAGGTATTCAGGGGTTGGCAAGAGTGTAGCTTTGCTGATCTGGGGGCTTCAGTCTCAGAGGCTGTGGCCTGGTTTTCTGTGGAAGTGGAAAGAAGAGCCTTTAACTCCTGTCTTCTCTTGGAGTCCCTGGAGGAAGCATCTGCCAGCTAAATGCATTGACTACCAAAAAAGTCACGTTCTCCCTCTGTTTTGATTGAGATCCTCCCTAGCTTCTTTGCCAGCTGGTATTTCAGGCCTGCCTTTTCCCATGACTGTGTCATTCTGGCGAGTGGCAGGTTCCTATTCAAGGAATTGCTCCCAGTATATGTAAGTGCAGAAGTCAAGAGCCGAAGGGATCAGCTCAGAAGTTGCTTCATGCGGTTCAGATCATCTGCTACAATATGGAATAAGTTACCACAATAGAGTAGTTGGTCGTGAGTATCCACTGACCTGAGAAAGAGCTGCTGAAAGGAGAGAGTAAGCAGTGTGGATGCTGAACAGAGTAGTTCAAGGGTTGCGTGGCAATAAGCAAGCCCAGCAGATAAGTCTTAAATTCCTCACCTATTTTGGGGGGAATTGGCAACCCTGAAAGCGTTTTGAATTTTCTACAAATATTGTGGATATGTCCTTAATCTCACGTCCTTAATCTCATGCATTTGTCTTTTTGTCTTCAGTCTACCTTTAAGATAGTTGTTCGTGTGCTTGAGCCTTTACACTTTGCACGTTCTTGGTAGAGTTCTCAGCTTTCTGCAATGAACCTTGGCTGCCAAATAGGCTCTTAAAAGTAAGTGTCTACTGTGAGCATTTCACAAGGTCCATCTGCTTTATCGTGTTGGCCAGCTTCTCATTGCTACAGCTTCCCTCATCCCCGTTTTTTAGCATTCCTCATCACAGTGGTGTAACACAGACTGTGGAAGTGCTTTCAAATAATGAACATTCGAACTAAAATGGTCAATAGTGAATCTCACGGGAAGGCTTTTTAATCAGGGCTGGAGGGCAAGCAGCATGAGGATTTGAATGCAGTTACAAAGAACTTTCAGCTGACAACCATTTCCAAAGTTACTCACAGATGTCCAAGGCTGGTAGCAAACTGTGTGTGAAAGGGCCATAAGGCAAACAGAACCCACACAGGCTGAAAAGGAAAATAAAAACAAGCAACTCTTTGTGAAGTGACAATGTTCCAGAAGTTCCCATGTCTTAAGGTTAAATAAATAAAGTCTCTAACTTCCTCTGTCTTCAGGGTCAAGCAAATAGAAGATTGCATTTCCGTCTTTGGGAGCAAGAAGCAGAATTCCCAAATAGTCATTGAATGAGGAAGATCTAGTGTTTGTATGCTCAGATTTGAAACAACACATCCCACTTGTGAGCAGATGACATTCCTGAAGGCCGATGCTTAACTCTTTTGGTAGCCTCTCTCAACTAGCTCCTCTTGCTTTTACTAGCCTCAGAATGGTTTCCAGGAGGCTAAAGGCCCCAGCTATTTCTAGCTGTTGTTGGTTACCTTCCTTTCTTCATTCTTAGATGCCAGATAGGAGCTCCTAAGGCTCCTTTTTGCAGCTGCTCTCCTTGGCCCCAGACTGAGAAGCTTCTACCCGTTCATAGGTGCAGAGGATGCATCTCTGAGCTCCGCAGGCACCATCTGTGGAGATACTTCCCTCTATTTCTGCTTTTCTCAGGCTGTAGGAGAATGTATCTGAGGGTGTCTTCCTCATATAAGTCTGCAGGCCTTTTTGAATATAAGTCTGCAGGCCTTTTGGAGCTGCCAGCGGAGGAATAAAAGTAGCCTGGAGAAGCTAGACCGGGGAAGAATCAGAGCCATGGTCAGCACTTGGCTAGACTGCACCGCAGCCACTGATCAGTAAGCGTGGACTGAGAAATGTGCAGTCATGGTCCAGCAGCTCGTGAGTTACTGAGGCTCTGCTGGCGTGAGGATGGTTGCTGGTGGTGCAGAGGTGCTTCCCCTCCCACCTTCATCTGAAGCTCTGCTCCAGAGGTCAGGATTGATATCCTGGGAGAAGAGACTTCCTGTTGATCTCACTTCTGTTTATCGAAGTGGTATAAAGCTCAGTTTATCAGAACGCAACCCCACCATCCCCCACTGTCCTACATTTCTTCGAGCATCAAAATCGATGGCTTTGTAGATTTGATTTAAATTAGAAGGTTTTTGAGAGATTTTGCCCTCCCCAACCATATTCTGTTAGCATGCATTGAATTTGACAGGAAGAAGGTTAACTTATTCAAAAAAAAAGTATGAAAGAAATTGTTCTATGCACAAAAATAGCAGAATCTGTGTCACTTAAGTTCATGTTTATTTAGTTAGACAGGAAACGATCAAGAAATGAAATCATAAAGGCTTATTCCCCAGTGACTTTTCATAACACTGTTTACCTAAATTGCTAAATAAGCAACCTATTTTTATGTATTCGAAAGAACAGGAAGATGATTTCAGAGGATCTGCTGTGCCTTTTTGCCCCTTCATTAATACAGAAATGAATGCCCCTTGAGTTCTGTATGATATAGTAGGACAAGTCTGGCAAGGTTGGTCTTCTCCGTATAGAGGATGTAAGTGCTACAGATGGCATTTACTCAGGAACACACTGTCCACGAAGGGGGCAGAGAATGAGTCATAAATTAATTGGACTTCATGTTTAGCATTTCAGATGCCAGTGTAGACTTATTGTGCCAGATTATTTTTCCATATAAAAGACATATTATATAAAGTCCACAAGCGAGGAGGAAAAAAAGCCACGGTGTTAGCTGCCAAAATGGATATAGCTCTGGAAGGAGCCAAATTCAGTTCTTAGAACTGAGTGAGTGTGAATATGTCCCTGCAGAGTCTGTGTCCTGGGTTTTCCTTTAGCCCTGGACATGGATCCTGCAGGGTGGCTTGCGGGGAGCGCGCTGAGCGCCAAGACCTGCGCTGCGTTGGCCCTGGTCCGTGGCACTGCCCTCACCATCCTGCTGGTGGTGAAGTCTCCTGGTGCGACACATCACGATTCTAGGCTTGACTCCAGCTACTTCGTACATTTTCTGTATGTTGTAAATTTAGGATTACATAATTCCTCTTAGTGTTAAATTATAGATGGCAAATACAGTGTTACGTTTGCAAGAGGCCAGCTCTGGTTCCTGGTAGCTCTGTATGGCTGTAGTGATATGAAACATAATTACCTCATGAGCTCACCCTGTAAAAACATAGAAAACAGCAGCAGAATTGGTAGAGGCCGTTCACATCTGCGTGTTCTGTCTTGAGAACATCACTGGAGAAAAGAGAGACATTAATAAAAACTCAGCAGTCCAAGACAGTCTTTTTCTGTGTTTTGACTGCAGTCTGCAAGGAGAATGCAGCCAGCCGGGCCGGGAGGCTTTGCCTTGTCCTCCCCTTGCCTTGTACCCCCAGCCCAGGCCTGCGCACCACGTTTTCCTCGGCAGCTTCGTGCAGTTTGCGTTACCTGCAACACCTCCTGCTTGGGGAGTGTCCTCCAGGCACGATCCCAAGGAAAACGCCAGGGCTGGGGTTGGAACACGCTTGAGAAACATGCCCTGAGCATCTGAGGAACGTTTTCAATCTCGGTCATCCTCCTCTCAGCTGTAAATCATCTGCCTCCATCCTGACTCGTACTCGGTGATAGCCCCAGATGATGAGATCCTGGTGAGCGTCTGCGCAGCACAAATACGCGCCGGGTAAACGTTGGCTGAAATCTGAGCTGACTTTCTATGAAAAAGGAGGCAGCTCTTTCAGAGCCAGGACTCGTGTGTATCTTAAACGGGTAAATCTCTCGTTGCTGTAGCTGTGTGATAACACAGAAACCTTTCAAACTAGCTTATTTTTATTAGCACCCCTCATTCGAGAGGCACTGTGCAACGTATGTGTATAATTTGTTTTTAAATAAACCAACAAATGCCTCGAATCAAAGATTGACACGTGGAGGAAAGCAGATGCCCCAGGCAGACAGAAGCTGCACAGGGATGGTGTTAAAAATACTCCTCAGTGAACAAGGGCTGATCACAGTGTCTAAACAAATGAGGTAATTTTATGTATCCGAGTGAGACAGGTGGAAAATGCAGCTCACTCTTTGGATGCCATCCAGCCTATAGAGACATTTGGACTGTAAGTGAATACAGGCTGTCACCAGCCTTCCCTCCTCATTCAGGGACGCAATTTAACACCAGGGCCCAAATGATATGGGGTCATAGAGACATTGGGCCATGTCAATGAAGAGGTGATACTACCTCTTGGGGAAAAAAAAATGCAGTCAATTAATGAAATTAATCATATCAACAAGAATATAAATTGAAATGGTAAAGTCCATATTGCAGTAATGTTTAACTCGGAGGGCAAAGGCTATATAGCAATGAGAAAATACATTAAAAATAAAAATCAGTAAGGTAAAATTACTGGCAGGTGGTAAGGAAATTGATTAAAGATTAAAAGTTTGGAGAAAGACCTTAAAATCCCCCCCACCCCAAAAAAGAATAGCCAACTTGGTCAAATAACAGAGTAGATTGTTACAAATGAGGGGGCATCTCTTGAACAATGGAGCTGGTAACCAAATGAGGAAATGAGGAAAAAAAAAAGTAATTTCTGGCAGGATAAATGTTAAACCATAAGAAGTTAGTCCAAAAATATATATTGAGAAACAACTTGCTTGAGGCAAAAAAAAAAGACTGTTTTTTAGAGGAGCCCTGCCAGGAAATCTGCAGAGCCTGCTGAGGACCAAGGTGTGGAAGAGCAGTGTCAGCGCTGTAGAAGCAAAGCCTGGAGCGTTCCTGCGTGGTGTCCCCACCTGAGCATGGATAAGGAAATGGCAAGCGGCAAAGGAGGCAAATCTCTTTAAAACAGCCTCAGGACCTATAGAGAATCAAGTTTCACTTTCGCACAAGTTGGTTGAACCTGTGAGAGCTGAGAGGGCTTGGACACATGCACTGGATGCCTTGTGGGTTAGTGTCTCACTAAAAGGTGTAGAAGAAAGGGCAGAACAGATGGTCAGGCTTTGCAGTGATGGGGAGGTCACCCATAGACTCTCATGCAGATCTGTGCTGGGGTCAGCGCAGCATAATTACATACAGCAATATGCTAGGCATAATTGTATCTGATCCTAAAAACGGGGGGAGAAAGAGTTCGGAGATAGAGTCTGGAGATGTTAGCTAATTCAGGTCATCAAATAGAGAATTTCTTGCCGTAAGGTCTCGGAATAATAAAACACCAGATGAAACTTGATGTGAATAAAGGCAAAAGAAAGTAAGCGGGAATGATACTCCTGATTAAAAGCACATCAAGACAGGTCCAGATATGAGCCAAGCTGTTAGTGTGTGGAGGGCAGAGCACAGAGTGCCCTTGCAGCAGCAGAGCCTCTGAGGACCACTGCTAATGACCTCTGGGAGGTTTTTGTCTTCTTCCTGGGGGCATTTTTAAACCATTGAGCAAGTGTGTGCCCTGGCCCTTCATGGACACATCCATCCGTCCATCCATCCATCCGTCCATCCATCCATCCATCCATCCATGCCCCACGCCAGCAGTGCTGGCAGAGCAGAGCACTGCTATCGGATGTGCCCATGGCAGCTTTGTGCAGGATCCACAGCAGGTGCAGCAGGAAATACGTCCGTGTGCTCCCAGCCATTCCTGCACTCGAGCAGAGCTGTCCTTTGCATCCTGAGAAAGGTCCTCCAGCTCGTTACAAGAAAAGGAAAAATCAAAAGCCAGCATTGCAGTTCCTTTTTAGGCTCTGCTCCTGTGCAGTTACTTGCCTTAGGAGTAAGTATACCTGGTTTTGTAGAGCGTGCAGGCAGTTTGTTATAGTTTTTGCCCCTCCCAAGCAGATATAAGATGGTTCTGCCTAATGAAGCTGTTCTCTCTGCATCCTCTTTCCTGTCTTTTTCCCCCCAGGAAGGCTTTCTGTGCTTGTACAGAACTGTTCTGCCCCTTGTCTCATTTCCTCCTCCTCTTCTCTTGTGCTAGCGTTGTGTGAGCTGGTTACGTTTCAGGAGCGACCTGCAGCCTCCCTAGCTTCCTCCAAGCTCTCACCCTCAGCCAGGTCCGTGGAGGACTTCATACGAGAGCGGGTGACAACGTGACCGTGCTCACTGATGGCTTCAATAGTGCTACGATGGATGCTCTCGATGCTCTCAGCTATTGAGGCAAAGCAGCCTCGGTAGCTGAGAAACAGGGAGGAAAAAGGTTGGGAAAGAGGAACAGCCCCATTCCTGTATTGCATGGGGACCCTGCAGCCTGGCAGTGCCTGAGAGGTACTAGAGGATCTCAAAAGCAGAAATGCCCAGGATCTCATTTAACTGTGTAAGGCAGGAAGGACAACGGAGGCCACAGAGCTAAGGAGGTTGCAACTAGTTTGTTTGGAAGTAGTTCAGAACAGGCATTTGCATTTAAAAAGAAAAGCT